ACATTTATTTTATTTTTTGTATTTATAGCCTAATTATTTTTTTTAGGTATACGGGCGTATACCCAAAAATTTCCTATTTTTTGAAGTATACGGCGTATACATAAGTATACCCTCCATTACATCACTGGGTTAGAAGCTATCTTAGCATAGATTTCTGTAATTAATTGTTATAAGTAGACCTGTGTTTATAATTAGGGGAGCGGCCTAGCCTGTAGGGTGCAAAATGGCTACTTCATCCGCTCCCGCCCATCCCCTTGCCTCCATTGTCTTTCACTCAGCATCCTTCTTTTTCTCCCGCTCCAGCTATCTTCCCTGCTGCCTTTCTCCAGTCTTCCAACACTTACTCCCTCTCTCAGAAAGCTATATTATGCAATTGTCTTCAGTCCGTATTGTACGCCTGAAACGGTGCTCGCGCATGCGCAATATCTCTCGAGAATATTAATATTTTTTGAAAATTTTGCATTTAAAATAAAGAGGAGGTATTTTAGCATAGATTTCTATGATAAAATTCCATCGATACATCTCACTTAAGAAACAGGACGATGATCCTGCATGTAAGGTCCCCGCTGCATATCCCAGCCAGTACATAATCTGGCTACGTTAGTGTGTTAGCGCATGCGCAATATCTCACTATAAGAGTTATATTTTGTGATGATTATGAATTTAATATGGTTAAGGGTTATCTCATCATAGATTTCTGTAATTAATTGTTATCAGTAGACCTGTGTTTATAATTAGGAGAGTGCCCTAGCCTGTAGGGTGCAAAATCCCTACTTCATCCGCTCACGCCCATCCCCTTGCCTCCATTGTCTTTCGCTCAGCCTCCTTCTTTTTCTCCCGCCCCAGCTATATTTGCTGCTGCCTTTCCCCAGTCTCCCATCACTCACTCCCTCTCTGAGCAAGCTGAATTGTGCAGTTGTATTCAGTCCGTACTGCACGCCTGAAACGGTGCTCGCGCATGCGAAATATCTCCCAAGAATACTAATATTTTGCGAAAATTATGCATTTAAAATAGAGCGGAGATATTCTAGCATAGATTTATATAATAAAATTCCATCAGCAGATTTCACTTAAGAAACAGGACGATGATCCTGCATGTAAGGTCCCCGCTGTATATCCCAGCCAGTACATAATCTGGCAAAGTTAGTGTGTTAGCGCATGCGCAATATGTCACTAGAAGAGTTATATTTTGTGATGATTATCAATTTAATATGGCTAGGGGGTATCTCAGCATACATTTTTGTAATTAATTGTTATCAGTAGACTTGTGTTTATAATTAGGAGAGTGCCCTAGCCGGTAGGAAGCTAAATCCCTACTTCATCCGCTCACGCCCATCCCCTTGCCTCCATTGTCTTTCACACAGCCTCCTTCTTTTTCTCTCGCCCCAGCTATCTTCCCTGCTGCCTTTCTCCAGTCTTCCAACACTTACTCCCTCTCTCAGAAAGCTATATAATGCAGTTGTCTTCAGTCCGTATTGTACGCCTGAAACGGTGCTCGCGCATGCGCAATATCTCTCGAGAATATTAATATTTTGCGAAAATGATGCATTTAAAATAGAGAAGAGGTATTCTAGCATAGATTTCTAGGATAAAATTCCATCGATACATCTCACTTAAGAAACAGGGCGATGATCCTGCATGTAAGGTCCCCGCTGCATATCCCAGCCAGTACAAAATCAGGCTACGTTAGTGTGTTAGCGCATGCGCAATATCTCACTAGAAGAGTTATATTTTGTGATGATTATGAATTTAATATGGTTAGGGGGTATCTCAGCATAGATTTCTGTAATTATTTGGTATCAGTAGACCTGTGTTCATAATTAGGCGAGCGCCCTAGCCTGTAGGGTGCAAAATCCCTACTTCATCTGCTCCCGCCCACCCCATTGCCTCCATTGTCTTTCACTCAGCCTTCTTCTTTTTCTTCCGCTCCAGCTATCTTTCCTGCTGCCTTTCCCCAGTCTTCCAACACTCACTCCCTCTCTCAGCAGGCTATATTATGCAGTTGTCTTCGGTCCGTATTGTACGCTTAAAACGGTGCTCGCGCATGCGTAATATCTCTCGATAATATTAATATTTTGCGAAAATCATGCATTTAAAACAGAGAGTAGGTATTCTAGCATAGATTTCTCTAATAAAATTCCATCGATACATCTCACTTAAGAAACAGGAGGATGATCCTGCATGCAAGGTCCCCGATGCATGTCCCAGCCAGTACATAATCTGGCAACGTTAGTGTGTTAGCGCATGCGCAATATCTCACTAGAAGAGTTATATTTTGTGATGATTATTAATTTAATATGGTTAGGGGGTATCTCATCATAGATTTCTGTAATTAATTGTTATTAGTAGACCTGTGTTTATAATTAGGAGAGCGCCATAGCCTGTAGGGTGCAAAATCCCTACTTCATCCGCTCCCGCCCATCTCCTTGCCTCCATTATCTTTCGCCCAGCCTCCTTCTTTTTCTCCCGCCACAGCTATCTTTCCTGCTGCCTTTCGCCAGTCTCCCAACACACACTCCCTCTTTCAGCAAGCTATATTATGCAGTTGTATTCAGTCCGTACTGCACGCCTTAAACGGTGCTCGCGCATGCGCAATATCTCCCGAGAATATTAATATTTTGCAAAAATTATGCATTTAAAATAGAGAGGAGGTATTCTAGCATAGATTTCTATGATAAAATTCCGTCAGTAGATCACACTTAAGAAACAGGACGATGATCCTGCACGTAAGGTTCCCGCTGCATATCCCAGCCAGTACATAATCTGGCAATGTTAGTGTGGTAACGCATGCGCAATATCTCACTAGACGAGTTATATTTTGTGATGATTATAAATTTAATATGGTTAGGGGTATCTCAGCATATATTTCTGTGATTAATTGTTATCAGTAGACCTGTGTTTATAATTAGGAGAGTGCCCTAGGCTGTAGGGTGCTAAATCCCTACTTCATCCGCTCCCGCCCACCCCATTGCCTCCATTGTTTTTCACTCAGCCTTCTTCTTTTTCTCCCGCTCCAGCTATCTTTCCTGCTGCCTTTCCCCAGTCTTCCAACACTCACTCCCTCTCTCAGCAAGCTATATTATGCAGTTGTTTTCAGTCCGTATTGTGCGCCTGAAACGGTGCTCGCGCATGCGCAATATCTCTCGAGAATATTAATATTTTGAGAAAATTATGCATTTAAAAATAAAGAGGAGGTATTCCAGAATATATTTCTATAATAACATTCCATCGATACATCTCACTTAAGAAACAGGAGGATGATCCTGCATGTAAGGTCCCCGCTGCATATCCCATCCAGTACATAATCTGGCCACGTTAGTGTGTTAGCGCATGCGCAATATCTCACTAGAAGAGTTATATTTTGTAATGATCATGAATTTAATCTGGTTAGGGGTTATCTCAGCATAGATTTCTGTAATTAATTGTTATTAGTAGACCTGTGTTTATAATTAGGAGAGCGCCCTAGCCTGTAGGGTGCTAAATCCCTACTTCATCCGCTCACGCCCATCCCCTTGCCTCCATTGTCTTTCGCTCAGCCTCCTTCTTTTTCTCCCGCCCCAGCTATCTTTGCTGCTGCCTTTCCCCAGTCTCCCATCACTCACTCCCTCTCTGAGCAAGCTAAATTATGCAGTTGTATTCAGTCCGTACTGCACGCCTGAAACGGTGCTCGCGCATGCGCAATATCTCCCGAGAATACTAATCTTTTGCGAAAATTATGCATTTAAAATAGAGCAGAGATATTCTAGCATAGATTTCTATTATAAAATTCCATCAGTAGATTTCACTTAAGAATCAGTACGCTGATCCTGCATGTAAGGTCCCCGCTGCATATCTCCGCCAGTACATAATCTGGCTACGTTAGTGTGTTAGCGCATGCGCAATATCTCACTATAAGAGTTATATTTTGTGATGATTATGAATTTAATATGGTTAAGGGTTATCTCATCATAGATTTCTGTAATTAATTGTTATCAGTAGACCTGTGTTTATAATTAGGAGAGTGCCCTAGCCGGTATAGGAAGCTAAATCCATACTTCATCCGCTCCCGCCCATCCCCTTGCCTCCATTGTCTTTCGCTCAGCCTCCTTCTTTTTCTCCCGCCCCAGCTATTTTTCCTGCTGCCTTTCCACAGTCTTCCAACACTCACTCCCTCTCTCAGCAAGCTATATTATGCAGTTGTTTTCAGTCCGTATTGTACGCCTGAAACGGTGCTCGCGCATGCGCAATATATCTCGACAATATTAATATTTTGCGAAAATTGTACATTTAAAACAGAGAGGAGTTATCCTAGCATAGATTTTTATGATAAAATTTCATCGGTAGATCTCACTTAAGAAACAGGACGATGATCCTGCATGTAAGGTCCCCGCTGCATATCCCAGACAGTACATAATATGGCTACGTTAGTGTGTTAGCGCATGCGCAATATCTTACTAGAAGAGTTATGTTTTGTGATGATTATGAATTTAATATGGTTAGAAATTTAAACCCTCGGATGTAGAGAAACTGGGAAGATGAACTGGCGGGAAGTCAGCCATGCACTCCTTGAATAGTGATATTATTACATTATATCTTCCTTCTATGTATCTCTCTCTCTGCAAAGATACTCCGCTACGGTTCTTCAACGAGATTTGCTTCGTTCGTTTGGTTTGCTCCTTTGTTCGAATCTATATTTGCTGTAACGAGCAAAATATTTTTGGCATCAATATAACATATATGATATACAACGGCGCGTTGGTAACAGCCAAGGAGATACATATAACAGCTATATGTAGTTATTATATATTACATATAACAGTGGTAGCTCCTTGGTAACAGCGAGCTTGAAAACCACTGAGCTGTATATATCTATTATTATATAGAGTTCAGTGTTTCCATAGATATATACAACACATGTGTTGTATATATCTATGGTGTTTCAAACCCCTTCGTTGTCCTCGGTGAGTTTAGGAAGTTGAGTTTTTGACAACTGTGGATAGGGGGCGCACCTAGCTAGTTTTCGATTAGGTGCTACTGGACGGTCAACGTGGAACAGTTTGTTGGTCATTTCCACGTAGTAAACGAATATAGTTTATCACAATGGGTATGTTTATGCAATAGCTATGATTTATTTTTAAACATATTTCTGGTCGTGTAACTAAGGTAACTCTAAGTTGGCTACTGTATTACTACTTAGTGTTTCTAGTTTTGCGCACTGTGCCGCCTTGTTGCCGGGTGCATTTATCATTTTGGCCCAAGGATGATGGTCCAGCGCACTACACTCACAGGCACTTGAAGCGTTTCAATAAAATATAATGCTAACTAAATACGAAATCTATTTACTACCAAATTCTTAATGTTTCTATACTCTCTTTCACCTATTAGTTGCTTGACAGTTTCCTGCTAAATTCCGTCCAACCATATACGCTGCCGGCGCCATTGCTTTCGCAGCGCGACTGTTGCACGCTTACACTTGTATATATATAAAAGTAATATATATAAGCTATATATAAGCTATATATAGTATAAGTGTAATGCGTGCAACAGTCGCGGCCGCGAAAAGCATGGCTTGCGGCCCAGCGTAATATGGTTTGGACGGAATTTACAGGACTGTCGGCAATAATAGGGGAAGAGAGTATAGAACATTAAGAATTTGGTAGTAAATAGATTTCGTATTTACGTAGACATTATATGTTTAATTTGAAACGCATCAAGTGCCTGTGACTACACTAGATACAATAATGTAACCCAACGCAAGAGTAGGGTTACAACGCGAGCCATTGCTCTTCTTTGGAGGAGCCCTGAGGTGATTCACTGCAGGGCGGCTTATGGTGGCGTTTTTCGAGACTTGAACTTCCAAACTGTGTTTATTCTAAACACGAACCCCCTCTCTGCTATCCTGGGACTTACTAAGTCTATGTATCACAATACTCTGTTAGTGTTACAAAATTTTCGAAGCGAAGAGCGGCGATATTTTGAGGCCACCATATCTGCTGTGACTGTTGCGATGGCTTTCAAATGTGCATAGCGATCGGCAAACTTCGGTTTAACGAGCGAATGCATCACGGGATGCCTTGAGAAATAGCACCGTGGGATGTGGCACCAATTGGAGGGCTCGCAGCGCACTAAGCTTGACTTGAAGTTTGCCGATCGCGATGCACATTGGGAAAATCAGGATAGCGGAGAAAGGTTCGTGTTTAGAATAAATCCAGTTTGGAAGTTCTAGTCTGAAAAATGCACCATAAACGCCCTGAGGCTGAATCACTCAGGGGCCTCCTTCAAGAAAAGAATAGGCTCGCATTGTTAACCCTACCTCTTGTGTTGGGGTTACCATTATTGTATCTACAGCTCACAGGCACTAGAGCGTTTCAATAAAATATGTAATGCCTAAATAAATACAAATCTATTTACTATCAAGTCTTAATGCTTTCTATACCTCTCTTTCAGCCTATTATTGCGACAATTTGTCCTGCAAATTTGCCGTCAAATGCTCATCTGGCCAACAAACGCATGGGCTGCCGCCATGGCACGCTGCACATGACAATAATATATTAGCAGGTAGGAAGCGTCGCTGCCAAAATTGTGTCGACACTCGCTTGATTTCACACGAATAAACAGAAATATTTTCAACCCATTTCTACTCCATATCTGTGTTTCTATTAAGAACAGTGTTCACTGTTGATAATAACATACTGTCTGCTAGTTCTATAACCGAGCTGTGTCACCGCGAAATCACACAGAGCCTGACGAAATTCTCGCGTTCGCTCCGCTGCGCGAGTTTACTGTAAAGGCTGTCAGAATCAGCGAAACACCCACCGGGCGCTCTTCGTGACTCATTTTTTGCGGCCGCATTATTGCAACGCTCTACTGGCGGCTTTGACGAGGCTCGTACAAGAGTTGGAAAGCAGCGTGGTAGTTTCCCAAAATGCAGTGCGCCGCCTATAGCCTTGTACTTGCAGCCATTTACATAAACTGCGCAACGGGAGCGAACGCGAGAATTTCGTCAGGCTTTGTTTGATTTTGCGTGACACAGCTCGGTTACGAACACAGACAGTATGTTTTTATAACAAGTGAACACTGTTCTTCAAATAGAAACAAAGATGGAGTAGAATGGTTGAATATTTGTGTTGTATTCGTCATGCAGATTAGATATCTTTTACTTATCTTGTACTTGTAGTGGCCATCCTTTTCTCATACTTCATGTCACCATTGCCATGGGCAGATCATGTATAACTACACCTATTCAAATCTATTAGAATCAAATACAGTTTACAACAATGCACTTCATGAATGCTCTTATATATAATTGTTTATTATTATTATTGTTCACAATGTTCACAATGTTCACACGTTTCTATGTCGGATATTTGTAATATAGAGGATGCGTCAACAATTGTGCATACAAACCGGACACCGGAGCGAGGCTGTTTATCATTGTTCTGTATAGATGCTATTGCTATTCCTTAGTATAGCTACCATGCTCGTATATCATTAATCTCATTGTTGGTTAATCATTAAAAATATTGTTTCTGCTTTTGCAGCTGTATCCAGCAGTGTTTCATTCATGCTAGCATTCACCCTGTCGATCGTGCTGTTTGCCGGAATGCAGATGTACAAAACTCAACTGTCTTCTTCCCAACCAATGACAATCTTGGGCGGCTGGCTGGGGTCGGATTTATTCATTCTCCTGTTAACAGTATCCTTTCAGAAAAATAATCTATTTGCAATGTGTAATTCAAAGATGCGATATAATGAACCAACGTTAATTTTTACAACCAAAATAATTATGTCAGTTGTCAGTCTATGGAGAATGTTTTATGTCAGTTGTTATACGTTGCATGTTATGCAGTTGTTCTGAGTTGTTTATGATGGTTCTTCGACGTCTCTAGTACTCTGTATGTAAGTTTAATATAACATCATGTATGCAAATTTTTCTCAACCGGATGGTAATATTGTAAAATTGTTCTCAAATACAAATGAAATTGTACGAAGGAGAATTATGGTAATAAGGTAACAATGCTTCTTTAACATTGTTTGTTCAGGCTATAAATAGCTTTGAGAATATGTCATTTGGCAAGGGATTTCAAGCAAAGCTCATTCCAGAGGGTAAGCTATCTCTTTTATCATATTTCGGATGAAGCAACGCATGCAAATAAGTAATTTGCGTGACTATGCTTGGCTGTTAGCGTCAGCTGAAGTGAAAAGGGTGCGCCATGCTAAATGCACGTGTTTTATTGTTCATGTTTCAGTGGCCATCGCCCTTGTGGTAGCTGTGTTCGCATCCGGTTTGGTTCACAGGGTGTGTGCAACGACATGGTAAGCACGGACCTCACACTTATGTGTTCTGGGCTCAATCATTATAAATTGATCTATCCACCTGAATGATATAATTGTGCATGACTGTGTATGTAGTAACGCTCATAGGGTCTATGTCCCCCAGGGTACTGCCGGAACGTACCCTGGGTATGGTTCCGGTATACCGGAACGTACCCTGGTAACTATTTGATATGGTTAGGGTTAGCGTTAGGGTTAGGGTTAGGGTTATGGAGTAGGCGTAGGCGACTCCCTAGACTCGTTAGTGGAGTAGGCGAGGTACGGTCCGGCATATTAGATAGTACCAGGGTACGTTCCGGCAGTACCCTGGGGGACATAGACCCTCTCAGCTGTAGTAACTCATGAAGGATGTGTGATGGACAAGCAGTGAGTTGCGTTGGATGTGTGCATGTATTGTTCTATTAAACGAGACGACTTATATTATAAGGTACATGTTGTATATTTTGATTACCTATAGAGGTGGTGATATGAAATGTAGATACATGCACAAAATCGACAGCGTTCTAGTACTAGTACACAAATTCTGCCATCAACGTATATGCATTCCAAGATTTCGTGACATTCCATTGTTAATCCATTCCATAAGTCAAAAGTGTGGTGAATTGTCGGATTTTATAACTAGCAAATACTGTCATTAGGCGTGTTCACACACAAGAAAAACCGCGATGCCAATCGCGATGGAAATACCGAGATAATTGTGTCGTTGTTCACACAGGCGGAAATATCTCGCTAATCGCCGAGCGGGATAATTCTATTAACCGAACTGCGCATGCTCAGCATGGCCACTGCTGGAATGATGCTCACTGCGCATCGCTGGCACTGGCTCACATCGCTTGGAATGATGGGATAGAAAAAATACCGGGATTATTAGTGCGCGATGCGTTCAACACGCAAATAATCGAGCAACTTCAAATAATCGCAGTCAAAAGTGCGATATATGGAGGCGCGTGCTGCTCGCAAATTATCTAGTGAGATTATTCGCGTTTACACACTTGTATAATCTCGGTATTCGATCGGCGATTGCAAAAACCGGGATTCGCATCCCGCCTAATTCACGCCAGTGTGAACGGCGCCTATTGACTGATGGTAAATGAATTGAGCAGTGCTACTTTCCATGTTGTGCAAGTTTGTAACAAACTATTTGCATATTCCGACAATAACCTAGTTTCCAGGTGGAAGTAACATCAATAGCTCATTGGTTTCTCAGTATAAAGCCAGCTGCCTATAGTTATTACGCAATGGTGAGTGTGTTTGTAAGCCTTAGACCTGGCAAACGCAACAGGGTTACGGGGCATGCACATTAATATTATCTAAACATAAGGGACGTGTTGGCTGAAGCGGTGGTAACAACAGTAGAGGTGCGTATCCATAGGCGGCACGCCTGATAAGCACCCGAACAGAAATTAATTACAAAAATACTCACACTGTTACGTTCGCCTTACACCAACATACACTTATTCATGTTAAATAACCTCAGATTCATGCTCTAGCATCTATGCTCGCGTCGAAAACTCCTAATGCCAGCTCTATGATGGCAATTTCTGCAAAGTTGTCTGAAACACATCTATCAAACACAAAAATGATCAACCGCGTCGCTGTGGCTATGCCACCTTGACGGAAATGTCACGATACACCAACAAGACAAATTTTACTCTAAGCTTCTAAGACGTCATGAGGCATCTAACGTTGCGTGCAAGTAATATACAATATTGCCTATTTTCGGTGAATACGAGGATTTAGTTTAACCCGAAGACGGTGATATTTCCCGCGAGCCGGAGGCCGGAGGAATATCACCTTCGAGGGTTAATAATCCTCGTATTCACCATGAAAATCGGTCATAAGGCGTTTTATTATATGGCATTTTATAAACTTAACCAATGTCCACAGTGTAGGCAGCCAATCCGTACTTAAGTTTTAAGCTGGTGCAGTCCGAAACAGTTCCAAAACTTGTCAAGCCGGGTTTTTTACAGCTGTCGTCTGCCAATTTTGCACTCCAGTGAGGCAACGACAAATCCGCGAACTTTCTGATTGGTCATAAAATACGAGCACAGGTTCCGGGATATAATATTCACGGTCTGATTGGTGCCAAAAATAGCAGCACAGGTTCTGATTATGAGATTCCCCTGCGGGCGGCCGCAGAGCGGGGTTTTGGATTGTTATATTCACGCTTCGCGTGACGGTATTCTGTAGGTTTCGGTGACAACATCGCAAAATAGTATTTTAGACTATAAGAGGGGTTTGACCAGATCAGCTGTGCGTGTTGGAAAAAGGGGGGGGGGGGGGGGGGGGGGGGGTTAAGCAGTCCATATAATAATGGGCAAATTATATGCACTCACCTAGTGCGGGAATTTCGCTCGAAAAAAAATCCAAAAAAGCCTTTTTTAGAGACGAAATCAGTGGGCATGGGAACAATCTTGCGGAGGCTTCTGTTGTATGCCTCTCAAGCCTCCAAGGTACTCTTGTAGATGGCGCCACGTGTGTCATGTCTTGCGGGCAAGGAGCGCAATATGGAACAGACATTATTAATATATGTCCGTATATCTCAAGAGTAAGATAATAAACCATCCGCATGGTACTATACAGCATCAGTGGTTTGCACTCACTGCTATCACACAAGTCCTAACTTTCTTGTTCAGATGATCCCTGTAGGCCTATCTCAATAGTAACCTCTCAGCTTTTTGATTGGAATGAATGTTTGCATTTTTCATCATGAATAGCAAGGTTGTTTCTCTGGCACTGGAACCACGAAAGATAAAGCAAACGCCAATGAAGCAGCAAACTCGTGTGACGCAACGTTAGTTAATTCAGAAACGAACTGAAAATCACAGGTTAAGAACTTAGTTAATTCGAGTGATGGTGAAATTATCCTGCTGTATACCAATATTTTGCCTATTCCAAGTTCGATGTGGCCCTCCGGAAATTCACTTCATCTTTCTTATCGTGAAGAACTTTGTTCACGCCAAAACAGAATTTGTAACTACCGTATTCCCTCGAACGAGCGCGTCTGGCCTCCGTAAGAGGGCGCCTGCGAAATCGCGGCCGGGGTAAGCCCCCTCAATAAATGAGGGCCGGGTCCATGAGATGTGATATGTTCACATGAAATGATATGTTCTGCTCACGGCTACCCATCAGCCAATGGACAAGCAAGCACATGCATACCTTTGCATCTGAACAGAGTGAACACAAATGCCGCTGCACGACACAATGCCAGAAATCACAATTATTTTTGTTTTGAACAGCATAACGCGGCTGCCGTTTGCCGAGTGTCGGTCGTGCGGCGCGTGTGTGGAGACATAGTTTAGTCGATTTAGGGCGAGCTGTTTTGGAAATGGGCATATTGGAGTGAGCATGTATTAGGCTTTCGCAATTTTATTAGAGATTAACACAAGACGGACACAAAAGGGGTAATAGGTGACAAAGGCGACGTGTTTTCGGAACTCTGAAATTGATGCTTGTTTGATCAATAATCTATAAAATAAATCAGCTTCTCATTGATTGTTTAATCCAGTTCAGAGCTCAAATCTAGAATAATCCTTTCACTATGGCTTGAGACACAGGCCGCGGGGCGACCTGGTGCCGGTCTGCTACCACAAATAACGCCCGATTCGCAGGAAGCGAAAAGACTCAAGAGCTTATGAACTGTAGCTACAAGATGAAGCCTACCAGTGGTTTAAAGAATGGCATACTCAAAGGAAGCTACCAGCGAGAAAAATTCAATGTTGAATTCAAAACCGATCAGAAGAATAGGGTGAAGTGCCAGAGGATTAAGCTATCGAGCAGCCCAAAACCATTGGCAGCGCAACAGCAAACGCACGGCAAAGCTTTGCATGAGGCGGCGGCGCAGCCCTTTGACTGAAGTAACACTGAGACAGAGCTGCGCTCCAGTGATCGAAGACAAGAGGCCCAGAGACTAACGAGTCACGCAGGAGGAAGTCAGCGCCGAGACACTGAATTCGTTTGAATCACGAGAACGCCGGACTCCCCCTTTGTGCCAGTCGAGAATGGCTTGAAAAATTCTTCAAACGCGCTCATGGAGATCACCACTCCGACCGGACGCCACCACCCTCCACAGAAAGTCAGACGCTGTCATCCTGCCCAACACTACTGTAACGTACTCTTCTTGTCTCGTCGCGGTGCATGCTGTGTTCTGCCGGTTTTTGTTTCGAAGACATCGCAGAATCGAAGGCCATGGACGCAGACCCCGGTAGTCGGTTCCGACATGCCAGGGCACACGCACTGTGGACTCACTGGTACCAAGTCGATACGCCACTGAAGACAACCTGGTGCCATGAGAAGTACGCGAACTTACAAGTTGTACCTGCGCCTGCCAAAGCGTACATGGTGTAAGCTTACGCCCTTATTGCTGTTAAAGGTGTTCTCGAAGACAAGAGAGTAGACTAATGTTCGTGTGTTTGTTATCGTGTCACTGGTCATCCAATGGTGGAATGAAGCGAAGCCCTCACCACCTGATCTGGTTAACGAAAGTGTGGGCCGCCCTGGCATTCGGCAAACGCTCTGACGTGGCCATGGGCTATGCTTTTCGATGCCAGCATTAGGACGCTGTCAAGGACAAACTTCGGGGCTGAACACGGAGATGGGGTCTCGCTGGTGGGTGCACTGATGGTCCAGGGCGCCAGATGTTTGTTGGAAGCCCAGCCATTCAAGACGGTCATGCGAGAACAGACCGACCGAGTGGAATGGCCAAGCGGGGAGAAGTTTATAGCCAAGGGGGGCACATGAGAGGCCTCCTTCCAAAGTATTCATCGCCACGTGGGTGAAAAAGGGTGTGTCTGGGAGTCACTGTCTCCAGAACTCTTAAAATCTTTCAAAGTGTGTGTTTGTCAAACATGTGGAGCAATCGAGAAGCGCTCGTGATCAATGGTGATCAACGACCACTGGGCATTCATGTCCGAACAAAAAGACGAACTATTTAGAGCAAAATGTCCCAATTCTTCGAGATGCAATGCGACCTGACTGCCCTA